GGAGAGAGGCCAGCAGGGGGAACCCAGCCTCCCCCATCCGTGAGGAAGTGCAAGTCAAGCTCCGGGAGAACTGCCTGCACTCGCTTCCTCTTGGATTTCCAACGCAGGCAGTGGGCTGGAACTAAAAATGGGAACCTCCAAAAACAAACAAGTACAACATACCAAAAAAAAAAAAAAAAAATAGGGGGAGGGATGAGGGAAGACCTCTGGCTGGAAATCTGCCAGGCCGAAAGGGAAGCTCCCCCCACCCTCTCATTCATAAATGCCACTCTGAGTATTAATTTGCAATACACTTCTCTTGGCTAATAAACATCATGCCACAGCTTTGGGACTTGATCCGAGCATGCCTCTTTGAAGTCCACAAATAGATTCCTGGCTCAGAGACCAACTCCCCCTCCCCTTTGGACTCTTGGTAGATAACTTTACTCTCACCTTTGTTGTAAACAAGCAAACAGCTCCCTGTGTTCCCGGGTGAGGGCTTCGGCAGATGCCGGGTCCACTAGGCATCCTCAAACAAAACCACTTTTGTTCCTCCCTCTCAGGTCCTCCCACCGTCCCAAAGATCTGAAGTGCTCCCAGTAACACATACACCACGCCCCCCCATATACTCTTCATCAAAATCATCACCCTCGCGCCCTAAGCATCCCACCCTCCCCAAATGAAAGTCCTTATTTAAAGTGGAAAAGATGAACTTTTTTTTTTCTTTAATAGATCTGACAAGAGGGGGGGAGAAAGGTGCAATGGAGCCAGGGGAGGTGCTTGGCAACAGCCCGCGCCAACCAACATTCCTGAGATGTTTGAGAATTCTGGACCGCGCAGACAGAGCCGACGTCACTGCAACACGCGGCGCGAGGCAGGCGTATAAAGGGCGGGCTCTCGGCGCCGGGGCAGACCGTGAGCGAGAGCGCCCCAGAGAAGCGCTTGCAACCTCTGCGCCTCCTCCGCCAGAACCGCGAAAGAAGGACGCCGGCAGCCTCGGTCCCGTCCTCACCGCGCTCCCGGAGCATCCGATCCCGCTGCTCACCGGCTTGTTGGCTTTCGTGTCGCCGCGCTCGCCCCGGCTCTTTCTGCGCGCCACAATGAGCTCCAGCACCGCCAGGGCGCTCGCTGTCGCCGTCACCCTTCTCCACTTGACCAGGCTGGTGAGTTGGACATGTTTAACCACGGCTTCTCGGTCCGCCCTCTCCCATCCCTTTCCCTGGGCCCGGATCGTCCACAGAAGGGAAAGTTAGACTAAGAAGTTTGTTCTAAGCCCTGACGACTTGTCCGGGGGGCCTCCGCCTGGGGCGCAGCCGCCGGGGTGGCCGGGTGGCTGGACGCGATCAAGACACTCCAGGTGGATGGAGCCCCAGAGCCAGACCCATGCCTAGGGCAGTTTAGGCGCCTCCTCGGAGCCAGGCAAAACAGTCTCACGCGTTTCTTCTCCCCGTTCTAGGCACTCTCCACCTGCCCCGCCGCCTGCCACTGCCCTCTGGAGGCGCCCAAGTGCGCCCCGGGAGTCGGGTTGGTCCGGGACGGCTGTGGCTGCTGTAAGGTCTGCGCCAAGCAGCTCAACGAGGACTGCAGCAAAACGCAGCCCTGCGACCACACCAAGGGGCTGGAATGCAATTTCGGCGCCAGCTCCACGGCTCTGAAAGGGATCTGCAGAGGTAAGAGGCTTGTGGTTTGGCCCCTTTAAAAAAATAATAGTCCCCATAGTCCAGAAGTTTAGTAATTTTGAGACCATGTATGGTGACGCTTTGTTGATGGTAGCTTGGCAGAAAGGCGCATGATTTCAGCCGTCTGGAATGCAATTCAGTGTGTCTGGGCCCAGCGAAAAGCGCATACGGAAAAGTGATTCCTGACTAACTTATTGTTCAGCTCTGGAGTCTCCGGGGGATTGTAGGGAACTTTACCATACACTGAATTGAACAGCGGAAAATATGTATGAGTTTCAGCCTGTGCCGGCGGACCTTAACCTTCTCTCTCTCTCTTTTGGTCGTCTTTACAGCTCAGTCAGAAGGCAGACCCTGTGAATATAACTCCAGAATCTACCAGAACGGGGAAAGCTTCCAGCCCAACTGTAAACATCAGTGCACATGTATTGATGGCGCCGTGGGCTGCATTCCTCTGTGTCCCCAAGAACTGTCTCTCCCCAACCTGGGCTGCCCCAACCCCCGGCTGGTGAAAGTCAGTGGGCAGTGCTGTGAGGAGTGGGTCTGTGATGAAGACAGTAGCATCAAGGACTCCCTGGACGACCAGGATGACCCCGTTGAATTTGATGCCTCAGAGGTGGAGTTGACGAGGAAGAATGAGTTAATTGCCGTTGGAAAAGGCAGCTCGCTGAAGAGGCTTCCTGGTAAGTGGAAACCTAGCTCTTAAGACATTGTACTGCAATTCATTCTTGGTCTGCAACTTGGTAGAAACCAGTGTGTGTCAGCATGCCTCTGAGGAGTCTTCCATTTATTTATCTTTCTAGTCTTTGGCACGGAACCGCGAGTCCTTTACAACCCTCTGCATGGCCAGAAATGCATCGTTCAGACAACGTCGTGGTCCCAGTGCTCCAAGAGCTGCGGAACTGGCATCTCCACACGGGTTACCAATGACAACCCAGAATGCCGCCTGGTGAAAGAGACCCGGATCTGTGAAGTGCGTCCTTGTGGACAACCGGTGTACAGCAGCCTCAAAGTAAGTTCCTCTGGGACTTGACCATGACCCCAGCACGTGGGTGGGATATGAGCCTCCCTCTTCGAGAAAGAGAAGTCATGGTATATTGGGAAGAAACTGCCTGTATGAAGCCTAACACTGCTGGGCTTCATACAGTGGTTAAATGCACCCCTCCCCAAACAGCAACAATAACAAATCACATTCCTGACTTTCTTTGTTCTTTCTTCCAGAAGGGCAAGAAATGCAGCAAGACCAAGAAATCCCCAGAACCGGTCAGGTTTAATTATGCAGGATGCTCCAGTGTGAAAAAGTATCGGCCCAAATACTGCGGCTCCTGCGTGGACGGCCGGTGCTGCACACCCCTGCAGACCAGGACCGTGAAGATGCGATTCCGCTGCGAAGACGGAGAGATGTTTTCCAAGAATGTCATGCTGATTCAGTCCTGCAAATGTAACTACAACTGCCCACACCCCAACGAGGCATCATTTCGCCTCTACAGTCTGTTCAATGACATCCACAAGTTTAGGGACTGAATGTCTCCTGGGTTCCTAGTGTGGGGTGGACAGAGGAAGAGTGTGAGCATCTTGGAGACATGGGTGGGGTGGTGGGGTGAAGGGGCTCATTGTAGAAGAGATGCCTTGCTCATCACTGAGTAGCATTAAGGTATTTCAAAACTGCCAACGGGGCTGGTGTGGATGGACATAAGGCAGCCCCAGTTGGGGAATACCTCGCTTCATAGTACTGGAGCACCCGTTATGCTTCATTTTGGAGCGTGTCGTGTGGATGACGTTCTGTTTTCTGTTTGTAAATTATTTGCTAAGTGTATTTTTTGGCTCTACATCTCCCCCCTCCCCCCCCCCCGTTTGTAATAGAGATAATAAGATTGTTTGTCCTCTGACAGGAGTAAGTGAAAGGGCCTCCATTCCTTCCCGAGGGAGGGGGACACTCTGTGAGTGCCCAGAGGCAGCTAGCTACCTGCACTCTAAACTGCAAACAGAAACCAGCTGTTTTAAGACTGAATGTTTTTTATTTATCAAAACGTAGCTTTTGGGGAGGGAGGGGAAATGTAATACTGGAATAATTTGTAAATGATTTTAATTTTATATCAGTGAAGAGAATTTATTTATGAAATTAATCATTTAATAAAGAAATATTTACCTAATATTGGAGTGTCTGCTGTTCAGTATTTTTAGAAGCCATCCAAGTTATCAGGAACAATAACTGTCAAGCATTCCAACAGGATTTGTTGTTGTTGTTTTTTGAGGACCTACTCTGTGTCAAAGTATTCTAGGTGCCCTACTTGGATAACTGATAACGCAGGGGAGAAAATAGGACAGTGGTTGTCCTTATACCTTTAAAGAAAGAATGGTGCCATATAAGCCACCAATTTGGAGGGCAAGTTCCTTGTGGGAAGCATCAAAGGCAGCAGAAGTTGAATTTGTAAACCGAAAACAATGATTCATTTTTATAAGAATTGAAAGGAAAGCTTAGTCCCCAACTCCAGGGGAACCTTTCAATAACCTTGGGCCATGACTGTTTGGTTGAAGTTTATTGAAAAGGTCACTTAGTTTGTAATTTTGTGTTTTTTAAATATTGTATCTAAAAGCCAGGGAAGCTGCTTTAACCTTTACCCTTGGCTTGTATGGGGTGGAAGGTGGGGATCGGGATCTATAGGGTCCCTGTTTTGTTAAGAGATGAGCTTGAAGCAAAGACCTGTGTTAATCCGAATAAGCCAGCGATTAGGTAAACACGCTACTAAATGCAAAGGAATGTGAGCAATTTCAGTACTCTCCAATCTAAAGGACCAGGGCAGTCCGCCCCCCTTCCTCACATTACATTGGTGGCAGAGGGAGCATTTCGATAGCAAGGCCTATCCAGAGGTCAAAGGCTCCTCACTGAGCATCCCAAAGAGAGGTTCTGACTGCTGGACTGGGAGAGGTGGAGACAGCTGCATTAACATTTGTGGAAAAAAAAAAAGCCGGTAGCCTGCGTTAGAAAATTCTACATCTTTAGAAAGCACTGACAATAAACCTTTTATAGAGAAATTTTCCTTTCCCCGTCAGTTCTGGCTCCCATTCAAATCCATAGTGAGATATTTCAGACTGCACTTGAAGAGAGTACTTGAATTTTTAGACATAAGAGAAAGTGCTTTGAGAAGTGGGGGAGGGAGGGAGACAGCTCTTGGGATTCTATAAGGGCCTTTTCTAAATAGATGAATTAATATTGATTTAATAGTGACCTGAAAGAAACACTTCCCCAGAATCTGTTTTAGACCTTACTGGATGAATGTTAGGAAAATCTACAGTCACGAGTCTTCCCTCTGATTTTGACAGT